AAAAGAAAGGCCAGCGACAGTGTAATGTGCTCAGTGCTTGACTAAGAGCTAAGGCTTGAATTCTTGTCAAGGTCCTGGCATCAATAGGTTCTGTGATGTTGGGCAGTTCACTAAACCTTTCCAGACTTGGTTTCCTTATTTATAAAATAAAACAGGTTGGATTATGATCCCTGAAGTCCCTTTTACTTAGAAACTGTTCATGATTCTTAACCATAATTGCAATAAAATAATACCAAAACAATCCATTTCCCAGCCCTTATCACCCAGTTCATATGTGCAGACAGGCTTAGGATAAAACTGCAACTCTAGTAACCAAGGAAACTCTAAAATTTTACCAGTGAAAGTAACAAAATAAGATAAATTCCATAAAGTTAACCAGAAAAAAATTGAATTGACGATTAAGGACTATTAGGGAGAATTTTCAAAAACTCTCTTCTATTTCTCAATTGACCCTCAAAACCAAATTGTAGGTTTTCCCACAGACCACTGGATAAATGAGTAATAATTCTTTGGGGTGGTTCAACTCTTCTATTCAATCTAAGATTCAAGCAGTATTGTTAAATTTTGTGTTAAATATCCAGTCAAGGTATTTTTCAGCATTAGAAAAATACTAACTCCTTGTACATTGATTGTATGCAACCCAGGTATACCAAGCCTTCTGTCCTGTTTTTCATTCACAAGTCTCTTTCTGTATGCAGCTGAATAATAATCTCAAAAACAAATTAATACTGGAATAAAGCAAGGCCAGATGTCTCTGGTGGCCGAGTCCACTCAGCTTCCTTTTGCTTCTTCATATATTTATATATTAAGTTTAAGCCATAGGTGAAAATTAAAGCCTGTACTTCCTGATTCTCTTTGATGTTGCAGAGCTGCCCAAAGCTTCCTAAGGGAAGGTTTCCTGTGGGGAATATTGATTCCAAGTATGATTAGTAACCAAATCTGACTGCTAAGACAGTGAGTGTGAGGAGGACCAACCTGCTCTGTGAGTCACAAGGTCATAAAGCTTGGGAAGCTAGCTGCACTGCCAGGCTCCTCCACTGAGGGTAGGAGAGATGGGGGTTCCTTTGGGGAGGCAGGTCACCAACAGCTGGAACATACATCACAGTCACATCCTGTTGAAGTGAAAGACTCATTCTATTTCCAGGAATTGTTGTTTGGGGATAGGGAGTGGGATGGGATACCAGACTGCTATGAATAGCTAAGGTGCAACTCACCCCTTGGAGTCAGAAGTACACAGGTTGAAGAGCGAGTTAGGAGACTGCCCTAGTGCACCCTCTCTTCAGGCCATCTCTAGTGCATTTTTGACCATCAGTTTTTTTCCTCTCACAGTGTTTACTTGTTGGACTCAGGGAGGTCAAGAGGAAAACAGGAAAGCGTAGTAGAGAGGAATTAGATATGAGCAATGGTAATGGTAGGGATCAAATCCTTTTTAAGATCCTCTTGTCCCTTTCTCTCCATCTTGGGTCCCTCCCCAAGCTCTATAACTGAGTGTTATGAAAGGCATAGAGAGAAGCTTTGTTTTCATGCCATGTAGTATTAACCACAGATTGAACTATCTTCCTCTTGGGTATTTTATCTGGAATGAGATCTGAATCCCAGAGAAGAATCACTTCTGGGCTGGGGCTGTAGCTCAGTGGCGGAGTGCTTTTACCTAGCACGTGTAAGGCACTTAGGTTCAATCCTTAGCACCACATAAAAATAAACAAATAAAGGCATGCTGTCCATCTATAACTACAAAAAAAAATTTTTTTTAAATAGAATCACTCCTGTCCCAAAACACAAGTCCTGGACCAGAAGAATGGACACCCTTTAATGAGTCATAGGGCTAAACTGTGTGTTCTTTATGACCAGTCACTATCCTGCTACTACCCATAGAATTCCCAGCTCTGTCCCTCACCTTCTATTACCCTGTGAAATTCCAATTCTAAGAATTGCCTTTAGCAGGTATGGAGAGCTCGTTAAAATATCCAATATTGGGCTGCACACCCAGAGTTTCCAATTTGCCTGTCTAATAAGTTCCCAAATAAAGCCAACGGTTCTGGTTTGGGGAAATGCCCTGGAGAACCACTATTCTAGCACATGGTAGTCACTTAACTAATACTTGTTGTTCATTTTCTTTCTTTCTTTCTTTCTTTCTCTCTTTCTTTCTTTCTTTCTTTCTTTCCTTTTTTTTTTTTTTTCTTCTTCTTCCCCTACCCCTTTGGTACCAGGGATTAAACTTGGGGTACTTAACCACTGAGCCACATCCCCAGCCCTTTTTATATTTTATTTAAAGACAGGATGTTCCTGTCTCTAAATAAAATAAGCTGCTGAAGCTGGCTTTGAACTCCTGTCTTAGCCTCCAAGCCACTGGAATTATAGGTGTGCACCACTGTGCCCAGCTTATTCAGTTTCATAATAAGAAGTCAGAGATGCATACTATGGAACAGAAGAAACAGGAATAATTCTGCATTTCTGAGTTTATTCATATTTGTTGTACTTCTCATTCTGTTTCCCCACCATATTCTATTTAAGCAATTTTCAGGAAACAGTTATTTCTTTCTTCCTTCCTTGAAAGACAATGAAAATTTAATAATAGCTAATAATAGGTATTTGAAAGAAACAAGGGCGTGTCCTGGATATCTCTGATAATTGATGATTGACATTATAGGGATGTGAAAATTAACTCCTGATTTTCTCTCAAACCATTAAGAAAAACCATCAGTTAAAAAGATCTAAGTGATGTTTGCCAAGATTTACATAGAAATCTTTTTTAGCAGAAGCAAACATTTCTGACCTAGAGAAGTCTTTTCTGACTCAAGTGATCACTTTTGATCATGAGCCAGAAAAATATTAGTCCATATAGTAGAATTTAGGATTGCTGCTTACTGCATATTTCTTCTTTGGCTTATCTCCTTTAGCATCATGCCTGAACACAAATGAGTTAAAAGAAAAAGGATTATTTAAAACCTACATTTGTGGCTCATTTTTCATCCTACAAATTCCCTCCTCTTAGATATACACACTTTGGGAACAAATCACAAAATATAAAGAGTCAACTTTTATTTAATGAAACTGAATATAGGGTTGCATATTCATCAACATATTGACAACAATTGCCCAAGAATTGCAAGGACCACTGCAATGAAAATATGTTTTCTTGTAATTATACTTCTCCATGCTCAAACAGCTTTATAGGCTTTTAAAATGAATTCCTGTAGCATTCCTCTGAGGTAAACAAGGAACAGGTATAATTATCTCCTCTTCACAGATGGATAGGCCAACACAAAGGAATGGACTGAATCAACCAACAAGGAAATCAAGCAAAGGGTCCAAATAATTCTAATATGATCTGCCTCTTCTGTCAAGTGCTGTTTTCCTTTGATTTATGAAAACTGGTGTTGTGGGAACCTCCAAAGGCATTTGGGGTTTTTTGTTTGTTTTGTTTTGTTTTTTCTCTCCCTTTAATGATGAGCAACAAAGCTCCTCTAAAGAGAGGAAGGAAATGATGAGACTGGTAAATATGGGCATCAGCAGTATAAGTCTATGGAAACCAAATTAACTTTTTATGAATAATATAATTAAGACCCTTCAGTGCTGAATTCTATCAGCAGATCAGCCAGCACCATATTGTTTGACATAAAAAGCAGGCAGAGAAGGCATAATACTAAACTAACAGGCATTATTCCATGGTTGCAAACCTCTCAAAGTACTCAACATTTGGGAAGTACCAAGCAACTGGAAATTTTTCTGAATGACAATAGTGTTCAGTGCAACAGGATTAGAAAATATGCTGTCTCTGGCCCAAAGCCAAATCACTGACGCTAAACAGTAGAGCCAAAGATCCTGAGGAGCAGATAAACAGCCCCCAAACCTGTACTATTAATCTTCTTTCCTATTGTGCCACATTTTGTTAAGAAGAGATTCATACAACAAAAGCTGGGTTCTTTGGGAATTATCAATTTTAATAATCTCACCTTTTAAGTCAGGAACATTTTGACAGAATCCTAAACTAGAGGCCTGGTAATCTCCAGATGGCTGACTTCCACAAAGCCCCTTCCCAACACCCCCAGAATGTGAGATTGTCCAGCAGGAGCCCAAGCCTGGCTCCTCTCCTTATTCCTTCCCCTGATATGCAGCACCCTCCTTTAACTGCCCTTCCCAGATGCCTCCGACCCTTCAAATGTTATAAGGTTGAAAAGGAATCATGCTACATATGCGACTACTTGTGAAAGCTACATAAAGATACAGGTAAGTATTTAGAAGGAGGACAGTTACTGTTCTGTTCACATAAACCTACAACTTAGAGACATTTGAAGCTATACCTGTTTTTGTCACATGATAATAAGATACAACAGTAAGAAGGTCCTTGAAATGATTATAATTAGTACTATTTTACAAAGCCTTAGGTCCTTTCAGGGTTTTTTGTTGTTACTTTAGTTCAGAATCTTTTGACACCATCAATATTATTGGTCTGTCAGTCAATATTTTTTCATAATCCCATGAATCTTCATACTATCAGCATTTATTCAGATATATATTAAGCAGCTTCTCACAGATGGAAATTTTTTTAAATTGCATTAATCCTAAACATGTAGACTTTTTCTTGCCATTATTTCCTAAACAATACAGTGAAACAACTATATATATTAGGGTTTACATTTAATAATGTATTATAAATAATCCAGGGATGATTTAAAGTATATGGCTTGTGAATTTATGTACAACAAATGTCTTACTGAAGATATACTTACCTCAACCAGGTACAGGGACACATGCCTGTAATCCCAACCTCTCCAAAGCTGAGGCAGGAGGATGGCAAGTTCAACCTGCACATCTTAGCAAGATGTTTTGCAAGAATCAACTTAGTGGTAGAGTGTTTGCCTGGTATGTGTGAGACCCTGCATTCAATCCCAGAATCACAAAACACACACACACACACACACACACACACATAAACACACACACACTTACTTCAAATACTGTTATAATTGGTGTGGAATGTAAATTAATGGCTTAAAGAGAGCAGATACTAAACTCATTTCAAGGTCAGGCATGGTGGCATGCACCTGAAATCCCAGTTACGCCAGAGGCTGAGACAGAAGAATCTTGAGTTTAAGGCCAGAATGAACAACATAGTAAGACCTTATCTCAATAAATAAATAAATAACATTTTGGCATATTTTATAAATTCCTTTTGTTGTTGTTGTTGTTTTCCAAAATAAGACGACTATCAAAATGAGAAGAACTATCCAGGACATATGACCCCTTTCTGGCCAGAAATTCTGGAACAGCAGAGGTCTTTGTACAGAACTTTGCAGGTGAAACAGTGCTAGGAGGTGCCACAGTGAATCCTGAGCAGGAAAGGGATTGCAGGGGGTGGGTATGACTGGGGAAGAGCAGGCCAGATAGTGGCATGAAGAAGAATGAACAGATTGAATCCCAAGCATCTGAAAGGCAAAGAAATAAAAAGTATTAAAATTGGGGGCTATGGATTTTGCTCAGTAGTAGAGTTTGTGCTTCCAATACACAAGGCCCTGGGTTCAAGTCTCAGCACCACCAAAACAAAAACTGTTATAATTCCAGAAGGAGCCAAGGAGCCAGGATTGTGTTGGTAGCAGTGTGCAAACACCACTGATTGGTTGTTCAGGATCTTCCACCGAATGCCCCCTTAGCAGCTGCAGGTGTGACTACTGCTTTTTATCCAGTACACCCTTTGAGTGTTGGCTAAGATGACAAACCTTGTGTCCTCAGTTTCTTAAGTTCTTCCCATAAAACAACCAAAGCAGATTTACTTTCAGAGCCACCTAAGGCAGAATTAGCTTCAACAGCCCAATGGAACATACCCAAAGAAATGAGGGAAGGAAGAAAATATAATATATTATGCTCTTGTTCTATGTCAAGTACTGCGGGAGGTACTCAGATGTGTGGATCTGATAAAAGATAAATTTCTTCTTAAGGGTCTGTTGTGGTTTGAATGTGACATGTCCCTTAAAACTCCTGTTAATGCAGGAATACTTGGAGGTAGAATGACTGGATTGTGAGAGTCATAATCTAATCAATTCATCCTAGCTTGAGTGGACTAACTGGGTGGTAACTGAGGGCAGGTGGAGTGTAGCTGGAGGAGGTGGGTCTTTGTGGCATGCCCTGGAAGGGTGCATCTTCCCTGTGACCCTGCCTCCCCACCACACTGCTTCCTTGTTGTTATGTCCTGAGCTGCTGTCCTTTGCCACGCCCTTCAGCCATTATGTTCTATCTCACCTCAGGCCCAGAGGTATGGGGTCAGCTAACTATGGACTGAACCTCTGAAACTGGGAGCCAAAATAAACTTTTTTCTCTTCTAAATTGTTGTTGTTAGGTCTTTGGGTCACAGTGATAAAAAGTTAACTAAAACATGGTCTATCAGATACTAAGCTCTAGAACAAAAAAGGGATGCCATATTGCCCTTGCGAAACTGAAAATCTAGGTAAGATTTTTAAAATAAACACGAATGTGAATTGTGTGGTGGATTTAAAGTTTATAATCATAACCCATGTGTACTGGAATATGCCTTTATCTTTTCTGATGGAATTCAACTCAATTCTTGAGTCCCCTTTCTGCTGATGGGAAGAAAATTAACTCAGTGTCTTGCCATTTAAAGATAACTCAGTCTCTTTCAGTGAATATGCTCTCTCAAATTCAAATTTCTTCTCCTCCTTCTTCTGTTTCCCTTTTTAAATGATGGCCTGATTTCCCTAGGAAGCCTCAACCACCCTCCAGCATCAGGGGACAAGGGACTCGTGTAGCATACATAGCCTACTCTTGCCTCCTCTGGATCTCTTCTTCCTGTCTATTCGGAAGTGTTTATACAACAAGACTATGATATGAAATTTATTTAATTTCAGTTAAAGGTGATGAATGAGTAAAGAATGGCTTATATACAGGATGACTATGGCCCAGGAATAGTTCTCCCCAGGGAGAAAAGGAAGGGGAAAGAATTGCATCTGAATGGTATTAAGTCACAAGAGGAAAACTTCCCTTCTGCAAGTGATTATCACAAATTGTCAAATTTATGTTTTCCTAGTCCCAGCTGGAAACTGTGGCTTTGTTATGTAGAATTCAACCACACACAAAATTACATTTATGCATTCCTGACTTTCCTGATACCAAATGTCAAAGTCCACTACAATTACAAATTTGACAATCGCTGTAAAGGAAAAGTAGAGGATGTTCTTCAAAGATATAACAAGAGGTCCAACTTAGATTAGAAAGCAGGGAAGGACTGGGGCACTACAAACTCCCTTGGCCTACTCAGACTAACAATCACAACTTGTGCAGTCACAGAGCACTCATATGCAGCTGGGATCCACCAGAATCACTGGTGTCCCCTGGCTTCCAGCTATTATTATCAGTATACAAAATAGTACTCACAAAATTAGGTGAAACCTGATAAAAATGTACATGAATGTTTTCTTTGTAGTACTGTGGATTAAACCAAAGACCTTGGGTGTGTTAGGCAGGGACTCTACCACTTAGCTACATCTCAGCCCTTATTATTTTTTATTTTGAAACAAGGTCTTCCTAAGTTGCCAAGGCTGTCCTTGAACTTGTTATCCTCCTGTCCCAGCCTCCTAAGCAGCTAGGATTATAGGTGTATGCCACCATACCCCTATGCAGGTTTTCTATAATGTTTAAATGGGCATGTAAGTATCAGAGTACAAACTGAAAGGAAAGCTAAAACTCAAAACTAGTTTCTTCAACAAATAAATTGCACAGAGAAAAGAGAAAGAAAATATAGAGTAAAAAGAAATAATCATAATGTATGGGATAGGAGCCCAATTTTTAAAAACAAACTGAGCCAGGTGTGGTAGGACACACCTGTAATCCCAGCAATTTAGAGGCTGAGGCAGGAGGATCCCAAGTTCAAGACCAGCCTCAGCAATTTACCAAGACACTGTCTCAAAAAGATCTGGAGGTGTAGCTCAGTGGTAAAACACCCCTGAGTTCAATCCCCAGTACCAAAAATAATAACAACAACAACAAGATGATGTTTTTAAAACAATAGGAAAATTGAAAAATGGAACACTGTTTATTTGTTACAATTTTAGTATAGTAATGATCTTGTGGTTATTTTCTTAAAAAGAGCTTTTGTCTTCTAGAGAAATATTCTTCAAATATATAAAGATGAAATAATATGATGTCTATAATTGCTTCAAAATAATACAAAAAGGGAGTGGACAAGGGGAGCAATGGGATAGGATTGATGGATATTGGGACTAACTATGACTACATAGAGATTCGTGGTGCCATTCTGTCTACTTCTTTTTAAAATTAAAATTCTCCACAATTCAAAGTAATAAGCCAAAAGGCCAAAAATAAAATCTTCCTTGGAACTCTAATCTTCATATACTACTGTGTGGGACTAGACAAGTACTAACTACTAAGCACACTGGTGGAAAAGTTGTCATTTTCCTTGATGTCTATGAATTAATGTATATTCACATGTACATTTAGTCTTACATTTACTGTCTGTCATCAGTCAAGTGTCCCTAAATAGGGATGGGGTCCATTTTGCTGCTTCTACTGACATTTTTGTGGTTTCAACATGCAGTTCATATTTCTCCCTTTCAATTGCAAAGAACAGTTTTGTCTGCTCCTAGAGTAGTGGTATGAGAGTCACTGGAGAAACATTTAAAATAATTTAGCATTATGCAATTAATGGAAAAAGTTTAGAGACCTGAGCTGATTTTGATTTAAGAGCGGTTATTAGTCCTGTCTGCCATTGGTTTGTCATATAAAGTTGGACAAGTCATTTAACCTGGTTGGTCCTCAGTTTGTTTATCTGTAAATGAAGTGCCAAGGCTACTCTTCAAGGTTCTTTAAGCTTCAACATTCCATTTTTTGTTTGTTTGTTTGTGTTAGTAAAAAATGATTCTTAATCAATCTTTTAAAAATAAGAAAAACAGAGTATTTAAACAATATTTAGCAAAAAGTGGCAAAAGTTAATATAGGATAATCAGACTTATGACTGGGTATCAAACTGGAAGTATATGAAAACATAGTAATTAAATTGTTCCTATTAGTCTCCATAATCACTAGAAAAAAATCAAAGAACCATTAAGCTAAAATAAAAGTACAACATGATAGTTTAAAACTAATAGAAATTGTGATGATGGCAACATAACTATATATAATAATGGTGGTTTATATTTATTTCACTCTTCCTAAAATATAGTAAGAACATTCTATGGAGCTTCCATGTTATGTTTGATTTTCATAACAATCCTGTTACTATTATTATTTTCCTCCTGTTTAAGATCCTCATCTCTGACCTTTGCCCAAGGTCATAGAGCCAGTTTACCTCTATAGTATTTTGTGAGGATTAGATAATATTTGTAAAACAGTATGTTTGAAATGCTTTGTAAAGTATTAGGTGCCAAACAGATGATGATTACTATTATTATGATTAGGGGAAAGATTAATTGTCTTTAATGTGTTTAATTATATAAAATGAAAAATAATAATTAAAATATTTCAAAACTTTGGAAGATCGCATTATAAGTAGGGACAAGATGGGTCTGAATGGATGGAAACAGACAACAGCAGCAGCCAAGAGCAGCAGGTCAAATGCTGAGGAGGAACTTCGTAATGATGGACTAGGGTAACCACTCTTAAATCCCTGCTAAATGTTAACATCAAATAGAGTAGCCAGACATTATGTGCCTTCTGCTGGAGGTAGATAGGTCCACCATTGATGAAAAAAACAAACCTGAACTTAATTAAGATTCTAGACCTAACTCCAGTTTGCTCTTAGTGTGGGAAGCAGACATTTAACTGTTAAATGGACCATAAGGACAGAATCGGCCAAATCCAGAAGGTGAGAATCATCACAGAACAAATGTTCTGGCTTCTTCAAATAAATTCCAAGGAAAAAGAGAAGGGGGAGAAGTATGATTTTTAAAAAACATTTAAAAGGTATATGAAAAACATATTAGTGTAGACATTGTTTGGTTCTTTTTAAGTTTCTTAATGATGGAATTTGGGTGGCAGTTTTTGTTTGTGTTGAGGTTATTCACAGGGGAGTACTGGGGATTGGACGCAGGACCTTACAAACTGTAAGTATACACTCTTCCACTAAGATATGACCCTAACTCTTGATTTTTTTAAACCACCTTTTTGAGGATGAGTGACACACAAAAACTACATTTGTAATATATACAACCTGATGAGCTTGGAGGTGAGTATACATTTGTGAAACCACCATGACCTCCGAAAATTTCCTCCCACCCTCTTTATTTATTTTTGGGTGTATCTAATAAGAACACTTAGACCTTTTTTGGATCTTGAGTTAAATAAACCAATTGTTGGGTGGGGTTGTAGCTCAGTGGTAGAGTACTTGCCTAGCATGCATGAGGCACTGGGTTCATTTCTCAGCACCACATATAAATAAATGAAATAAAGGTCTATCAACAACTAGAAAAAAAATATTTTAAAAATACACCAATGGTTGTAAATATAGGAGGAAATGTGAATAATAACTGGATTATTTGGTGATATTAAGGAATTAACTATTGTTTTTTCAATGAAATACAGTATTATGAGGATGTCTTTTTAGGCCTTATCTATTAGCCAAATAGACATATTTATATAAGAAATAATATAATATTTATGTTTAGCACCAAAATGTTCAGTGAGTGTGGGACAGAAACGGTATAAATAAAACAAAACTGGTTAGGTATCATTTGCTGAAACCAGATGATATGTGCATGGGATTTCATTATAATGCCCTCTCTATTTTTATATATTTGTTAATTTTGCTATAATAAAAAAGACAAGGAAAGGAAGAGAAACCAGATTCACCAGTTATTTTATAGAGCCTAGTGCCTATAATTTCAGCTACTAGGGGGCGTGAAGCAGGAGGACCAGTCTGGACAACTTAGACCCTGCCTCAAAATCAGATTTTTTTTAAAGGTCTGGGGATGTAGCTCAGTTGTAGATTGCTTGACTAGTATAGCATGAGGCCCTGGATTCGATCCCCAGCATCAAAGGAAAAAAAAAAGTTTTTAGAGCAGAAAATGTTAATATGAAATTAAAAATTATACAGCATCAATTTTGTTTTCTATATGAAAAAATGCATTGCAAGGTGCTCTTTTTTTTTTTAAGGGCATGGGCATATTTATTCAATTATTTATTTATTTTTAAAAAGTCAGAACCCTTAGAGTTGGTTTTTGTTTTTCTCTTTAGGAATGAAGAACCCAAGAAAAAAAATTACATAAATCATTTTGTCATTTAACAAAAACATTTACTGAAAAACACACTAAGTGCTTGGTATCTTGCTGTGTATATTTGTGGAATTTGAGTTACAGCATAAAATACAGCTGGGGATATCAGGCTGCCCTCAAAAAGCAATTAGAAATCAGAACAGGGTGATACAAAGGTAGCCAGCTGCTCCCCAGTTGTGTGCCTGCCTTCATAGAGTGGTTCAGAGAATACAAATCTTGAGCCAGGGGTACATTTCCCAGCACAAGGTGGAGCCCTGTGCCTAATTCTCACCAGCAAAAGTAGTGTGACATGTCACTTCTAGACCAATGCAGCTAAGAGCTCTCTCTCCAAGTTCTAGCTGAAAGTTGCTACCCTGAGCAACTCTGGAAACTTTATGTTGAAGGTAGCAGAGTCTCCCTCACCCTGGGTCCCTAGGGCTGCAGAAAACACAGCTTCCTCCACCACTCTACTGTCGGTGAACATGAATATAACTTCTTCCTTCTTCTTCTTCTTCTTCTTCTTCTTCTTCTTCTTCTTCTTCTTCTTCT